GCCATGTCCCTAGAATCATGCGTCTCAGCTCTCTAGGTGGCTTCTGCCCTGAGGGACTCAAGTGTCAATCTGCTCAGTGAGATCCCTCACTTCCACTGGAGTGCCACCGAGCCCGGCCTTCGAGATCCTTCCACACCCTCGCTGGCCCATGGTGGGACAAGCGGGGTCTGGCAAGCATTGGCCCAGTGTTTTCCTTGCATCGGGGCCTGACCTGAACTCTAATTATCCTCACCGTGCACTCATGCTGGGGATGGGTGTGGCTCTTTTCACAGATTGTTCTGGAAATGAGCGGCCACACATACCACCCGTCTCCCCCCAGTTTTCTGCCATTCTCCTACCCTCCCTTCGGGGTTCTAAAATGTGCATTCTGCAGCGACTTGTACAGAGCATGTTAATGAGCAGAGGTGGGAGGGTGAGAGCTGGCGGTGATCTCTCTCCACTTCCCTCAGTCCCAATATGGATCCTTTATTTGACCCGAGTTACCTGCAGACGAGTTCAGGCTGGCGGGTGCTGACATCTCTTCCCGTTACTCCCTTCCTTTCCCAGGGACCCGCCCTCCCTAGGGAAGGGCACCTGTCACCGTGTGTGTGGCACATGCACGTGACTGTTCCTCCCAGCCTCCCCTCCAGCTTCTATGATCTCTGCTTTGGGTAGAAGTTCTCTGTGGACGAGCCCCCGAGGCATCCCTGCTGCTTAGCCAGGTAACCATGCTGATGTTTATTAAGGAAAATGACGTTCAGCTCGGGATTTGTGCTCCAAGGTCAGTTTTCTGGCCCTGAGACGTGTGCCCAGTCCCTATGGAGACACACACTCTCCCTATTGACAACAAGCACTGGTGAGAGCCTGCATCGGGGGTCAGCAACCCCTAGCCTGTGGGCCAAGCCTAGCCCTCTGCCTGTCTTTGCACAGCTGCAGAGCTGAGAAATATTTTTAAAAGGTGGGGCACGGGGGTGGGGGGATTAAAAGAATACTTTGTGGTATGTGAAAATGCTCTTTCCAGTGCTCATCAAGCTTTATTGACACGGGGTGACGGGCATGTTTGCACACTGCCCATGGCCGTTCAGGAGCTTACGTTGGCTAAGTTGAGATGTGATGGCTTGCAGTCTAAAACACATACTATTTAATTTATCTAGAGAAAAAGTTTGCTGAGCCTTGGCTAGCATGACTGAATGTTGGACACCCACGTGAGTGTGACAAGGACCAAACTGGAGCGTGAATGCTGGGGCAGCTACTGAGCTCTGGGACTGCCTAGCAGTGAAGGCTGGAAGGCAATGGCCCGAGAGGAAGGCGGTCCCTATTGGTTCTGAGAGCACCTTTGACAGAAGGTGGGAACCCAGTCTGCCTGATGGTGGGGAATTTACAAGTCTGTTTCTAACTTGTACCAAAAGGCATGTCTTTGGCAATTAAAACTGTAACTGGGCCAGGCGTGGTGGCTCACGCCTATAACCTCAGCCCTTCAGGAGACAGAGGTAAGACTGCTTGAGCCCAGGAGTTCAAGACCAGCCTAGGCAACATAACAAGACCTCGTCTCTACAAAAAAGTCAAAACGTTAGCTTGGAGTTCCAGTGTGCGTCTGTAGTCCCAGCTACTCAAGAGGCTGAAGCAGGAGAACCACCTGAACCCAGGAGTTTGAGGCTGCAGTGGGCTGTGATCATGCCACTGCATTCCAGAGTGGGTGGCAGAGTGAGATCCTGACTCAAAGCCAAGAAATTATAACTGAAGGCATTTTGAACACTGGGTTCACCTCAAACACACGGCGAGAGCCCTGGCCCTCAGTGAAAAGTCGCCATGTCTGCAAGGGGACGATGTACAGCAGGGGTTTTTTTATGACATCACTTGATCTGCAGCGTGTCAGCGGGCCATGGGACTTGGTGCCTTCTGCTTCTGGCATGAAAGCCACCTGCCGGCAGCACTGGCTCTCCTGCCTGGGGCCCAGGGCTTGGGACAGAGCGCAGTGCCACAGGGTGTGTGACAGGGTGGGAGGGATGGGAGGACGCAGGTCTGGAGAATGGGACTCCTTTTCTGTAGCAAAACTGTACTGGGTCTAGGGGTGCGAGCTAACAGATAATAGGGAGATTATCCTCAACAACCTAATCCTTTTTGCATCTCCTGCCAGATACGAATTTCGTGTCCTGCTGAGTTACTTGTATACAATGTCCTTAAGACGTGGGGTGGGGCATACCTTGATGTGGCTCCTTGGTTTTGTTTATGTTTTTTTTGTGAGTCAGGGTCTCACTTTGCTGCCCAGACTGGAGTGCAGTGGCCCGACCACAGCTCACCACGGCCTTGACCTCTTGGGATCAGGCCATCCTTTCACCTCAGCCTCCCGAATAGCTGGGACTACAAGCACGTGCCACCACACTTGGCTAGTTTTTGACTTTTTGTAGACGAGGTCTTGCTATGTTGCCCGGGCTGGCCTTGAATTCCTGGGCTCTAACAACCCTCCCGCCTTAGTCTCCCAAAGTTCAGGGATGACAGGTGTGAGCCACTGCACCTAGCCTGGTTTTCTTTCTCTACATTCTGGCTTATTAATAAGAAAATCATTTTTTAAAAAAATCCTACTTGGACTCTCAAATGAGCATCTAAATTGTCCTGAGCTTTGAGTTCTCGATCCTGCAAGCGAACAGTGATATGAAGATGATGGGGGAGAGGCTGAACCCCTAACTTTGTTGTACACCGGGTTTCACAGGCCGTTGAAGTCCTAGAGCCTCATTCTCTGGGATCACAATACCGGGCTGGAATCTCAAAGTCTCTTTAGGCCTGAGATGAGATGTTTCATTTAAAAGCAGAGAATGCATTCAATTTCTCAGAAAGCCAGCCAACGCTCTCCTAACAGTTACCTAGACAATTCTGAATTTTTCTCGAGATTTGATTTGACAAAAAGTCATGCCATGAACACTTTCTCTTTTCCTGTCGAAAACCAGGCCTTTCTTTATGCCAGTAAGTCACTGAGCCTCAACTGGTAGGCGTTATTAAACTCTGACCCCGGGGCTAGGAGATCCTGTGAAGATTCGAAGTGGTCACACCATGGACCTCTGTCCCAACCCTCCACAGCAAGTCACTGTCAGCCGGAATGGGGCATGGGATCCACAAGTAGCCTGCTGCCATGGGTTTACTTCCTGTTATCCCACAAATGAGCTACCAAAAATACAGGATTGGAGTTATCCATAAACCGAGGGAGCAAAACGAAATGTGAAACCAAAAGCTCAGGTACATGGCAAGCCCACAGACATTACACTCCACTTGGTCCAGGACCACTAGATGGCTCTGGGCTGCATGTAAGGGCTCAGTGACTGCTGTATACTGGCAATTAAATTCAGTGGTTTCTTTAGCATGACATCTGGTTCCCTGTATGGCTTTTTTACATTTAAGAATATATTCTGTGCTCCATGTGGATGGAGTATGACGGGGCTGTAGCTGGTACAAAAAAGGCGTATCCTGGAAAGGGAGGGCAGTGTTTAATGTCATTGCTGTCTATGCCGTTGTAGAAATCAAACACCAAAGCAATTGAATCCACTGGGACAGGAGGTGGTGGCTAAGCAGGACTTTTAGAGAAACAGAAGAACTATATGAGGCCTGATGTAGGACTCGTCCCCTGTCTTGGATCGGTGAAGAGGCAGCTGCCTGGCCTGCCTGGAGCTGGGGGTCATTGGTAAGGCAGTCTAAAGGAAGTCAGATGTTGGGGGTCTGCGGGCCAGTTCAAACTACCCTAGGCTGCTGTGTGAGGGCAGTGAGAGCTCTGGGGGCAAAGCACTCAGTCTCATTCTGGAGGGAGCTGGCAGCATCTCCATCGCAGGCTGTTGTGAGAATGTGAGAATGAGAAGACGCTGTAAGGACCCTTGCACGGCAAATGCACGAAGCCAAGTACCCACATGTCGGTTGGAGCTGGGTGTGGACTTCAGCGGGGCCTCTCTTGGTTCAAGTGTGGGATCTGTGTGGAGTCTGATGGTGCAAGAGGTTTTAGAACAGCCATCGGTGACCTCCTACCATCACAGACCCTGCTGGAATTCACAGATGGAAGACTTCTAATCTCACCAAATCTTTGCAAAGTAGGTATAATTATCCCTACTTTACAGTCCAGACCAAGGAGGCTCCTGTAAAGTGGATAACTTGCCCCGGGACACACCCACCTGTTTCACAGGTGAGGTTCTGGAAGAGGCCAATGATCAGCTCAGAGACCAATTTTTTACAAATATTTTTATTAGTGTTAGTAACTATGGGTTCCCCATAAAGTATAAAACAGTCTGCTGATATAGAAAATGACCTTATTGTTAACAGCTAAATAATTTAATGTGTATTAGAAAACTATTTTCCCCAGTAAACTATTTCAGATATTATAACTTAGGATTGGTAGGTAGCAGGAGGGCTAACCACCTTACAGAGGGTTAGGATTGGTAGGTACAGGAGGAGTAATCACCATGTGAGTCCCAGCTGGGTGTTCAGACCTTCCCTGCCAGCGAATACTTCCAACCTTCTGAATAGAAGCATCACTGCAAGTCTTCTTGGGATGGCCGGGAGCCTGGCATCACTGCAGAGCTTCTGCAGGAGGGATGGGAGGTGGGTATGGACTGCGTGTACAGATACTGCACACGTGCAGGAAGACTTGTTCAGGAACTCAAGTTGCTGCCCTGGAAGCAAAATCTAGGTATCGTGGCTTACTAAGGGAGGCTCTCACCAGTGTCGTGGGGGCGCAGAGCATGATTTTAAAAGACAGAATTTAGAGAGCTGTTTAAAATAGTAAATCATGTTACAGGCATTCTTCTTTTCCCTCAGCTTTGTGAAAAGGTGAGTAGTTACCCCTGCCTCACACCTGAGGCGTACTGGCTTCTGCAGGGAGCAAACTCTTACGTGTCCACTATCTAGTTTTGAAAAGAATCTCTAGTCTTTAAGATGAAGCTTTTATTTATTTATTTTTTTGAGTTGGGGTCTCACTCTCTCGCCCAGGCTGGAGTGCAGTGGCATCATCATGGCTCATGGCAGCCTCGAACTCTTGGGTTCAAGCAATCCCACCGCCTTGGCCTCCCAAGGTGCTGGGATTACAGGTGTGAGCCACTGTGCTCAGCCTGGATAAAGCTTTTAACTTGCCAGATCATATACATGATTGGGAAATGGTGTGCAAATGAACTGTTTGCATATATCTGCATATACAAAAAAAATCACATCCTCACTAGGCAAGTTTATAAGAGCATTGCAAACTGGAGTTAGGAGGTATATTCCCGGAGCACTTAGTTTGTTGACATTGAAATCTCAAGAATCATAGGCTATCAGCTTATCTCAACAAATCTCTTACACTATTTCTAACATTATGAAGAGATCCTTAATGGGCTTGATAAAACGCCTTCAATTATTTTCCCAAACCAGATGGCAGCAATAAGCAGATAAGGAAGCTGTTCCCTCCATCACTTCATGGATATTTACAAATAACTGCAGAATGTGGAGATGCTTCCAACAGCTTCTTGAAAGTTACCCCTATCACATTATTGAAGAATTCTCAGTATCTGATCCAAGGAAGTTAGTTAAGGTTTTTTTGTTCTTTCCTACTACATGTAAGTTGGAATTCATGGGACTGACCAATGTCAAACAAAAAGCCCTCCTCTTATGACAGGATGTCACCTTTGTCTTAAACTTGGCAATCAATATGAGGCAGATATCCCTTTAGGTCTGATGGATCATTAAACTGTTCTATTCTTCTCATTAAGGAACTTATGTTCAGGGATATAAAATAGTTATTGTGATTAAGTTAAACGTCTTCACTAAGTTTTAGCATTATGATTACGACAGATGATACTAGTCTATTTGGAGTAGTGGTATAAATGTTCTTGATACACATCTTGAGGGGTATCAGGTTATCCCTTGTGCTACCACTCCTTTATGTGTTCTGGGTAGTTCGGGGCAACACAGGGCACTGAGGCACGAGAGACAAGTCAGGAAAAGCTTCTCCCACTTCAGTGTGCTTCCTACTCCAAACGTGTTAGAGCAGCAGTCCCCAGCTGTCTTTGTCACGCCAACACACGGAGGTATCGTACTTCTCTAGGATGGGGGCCGGCATAATTTTTCTGTAAAGGCCAGATAGTAAACATTTTCAGCTTTTCGGCTTATGGTTTCTGCTGCAACTACTCAACTTTGCCGTTGAAGCATCAAACAGCCAGGGATGACACCTGACTGGTAAGGGGGCTGGGTTCCAACCAGACTTCATTTACAAACAGCCAGTGGGCTGAACTTGGTCAGTGGCCACTGTAATCTGCTGAGCTTTGCTTGAGGAGTTGGACTGGGAAGGAGGTCATTCTCATCTACCTTCTTACTCTGAGAATTTCTGATCTTGAGAAAAGACACATGGGGAGGTACGGATAGAACCACCATGTGTCCCTTTTAAAGGGACCTTCCAGAGGTGGGCACGCAGCCCTTTCTAAGGAAAGAGACTGTTTGGGGGTTCCAATGGAGCTTAGTAATATTAAACTAAACTAACTAACGGTAGAACTCTCCCACAGCCACGATTTCTTCCTTAAGGAGAATTCTAGCACCCCTGGATATACTGGAATACCTTTTCCTTAACTATGAGAATCTGCTGCAGAATTCAACTACTCTCACTAGGGATCGCTAAAGAGGGGACTGGGAATAGGAAAGGCAGATAAAGCAGCAGATCCAGTATTCAAGCTTTGGGCGGAGAGAAAGAAACACTGTACACAGTGAACACATGTGGGCCATGGAACAGTCACTGGCTTTTCTGCGGTTTTGAAAGAGCTGGGATGTGAGGGGGACTGGCCCTACATATTTTGGCTTGAGACTACCACAGGCAGAGCCAAGAGACAGAGACGGGTGTGTGTGTGTGTGTGTGTGTGTGTGTGTGTGTGTGTGTGTGTTTGCACGTGGAGTTGGGAAATACTCATCCGTCTTTGCTGCCTAGATTAAATATCCTCAGTGCCTCTTCTATTTGTAAGTATCCAAGTGACTTTCTAGGAGCCAAAGTGGAAGTAAAACAATATACATTATTTTCATGGGGCAAAGAGAGAAAGAAAGCCCACCAGCCAAAAACAACCCTAACATATTGAGAGGGCTTTCTCAGTAATTCATAGAAATTCTTGAAGGGAAGGGGTGGGATTTTGAAAAGTTTCCAGGAAGAGATGACAAACAGAAACCAGCTGCTCGCTATTATACTCAATTAAGTTGTACAAAATGCGATTTCACATTCTGTTTAGTGTGCTATTTCAGTCAGCTTAAAAATATAGGTAAGGAATATCTGTAAGGGTTTCTCATAGGCTCACCTGCCATTAGAATGCCCACCTTGTGCCCCTGTGTTTGTCACGCCTGTCAAGATCTGGTCAAGGGTCCCCAAGAGCCCAAGTGCTCCTGACAGGAAGGGTCTGGTATAGGCTAATCTGCCAATTCAGATCCTGTTCTGTATCAGCTGTGTAGATGTGGTCTAACAGTTCGTACAGATAAATGGTAAAACACCAAGGCTTAGAAAACAATTTTAGGGATATTGTTTTTTACTGAGAAATAGCTTCTTAACTTTAAGGATAAACTCTGTCATCTTCACATCTCCCTGAATAACCTCATGTTTCCTTGAATAACAACTTCATAAGTAAACAAAACTGGTTTTCTCAATAACTCTCGGTCGCTTTTAACGGCAAGCCAAAAAACTCCCAGACAGAAACAGATCTGCCCACGTTGACAGAAAATTTACTTCCTACATAACTGTTTTAGATTCCAGCAACTTTATTCTTTTCATTCCCTCTCCCTGACCCCAGTACAACTTTAAATGGTTAAGTATGTCCTGCAATCGTCTCCACCGCATGCCCCTGCAGTCTCTTAAGTGATGTCCAGGTCAACACTACTTACGCCAGCGCTGCCGCTCTTTGGATAAACAGAGACACATGTAAGGATCCAAGAGGCCACTTCCACTGATATTTCTATCTCTTGCCTCTCTAGATCAGTCTGTTATATTTTTGTTTCATAAGTTTAGAAATAGAGTCTTAGGGACAATGAGAAGTTTCTGTTTTACTTTCTGCAGTTTCTACCTACTAATGTCACGTATCAATTAAATAATCCCTTTCAGACACTGGTAAACTCTTCTCTGTGGAACATGACTCTTGGTTTTGAACCTCCATTTATGCAGATTGATCAGAAAGGCATTCCTTTTTCTCACCCATGCCCAGGTGTCGATACAAGAGAGAGAGCCGCCAGGCCATCCCAGCCAGTACACAGGAGTATGCTGCGACCAGTTCCTGCTGTTCAACCTCCCTCCTACTCACCAGGCACTGATGTAGTCACACAAATTCCATTAGCATCAAATCTTGGTTTTGTTTTTTTTTTTTTGAGTTGGAGTCTCACTCTGTCGCCCAGACTGGAGTGCAGTGGCACACTCCCAGCCACCACAGCCTTGACCTGCTGGGCTCTGGCGATCCTTCCGCCTCAGTCTTCCAAGTAGCCAGAACTACAGGCGTGCACTACCACGCCCAGCTAATTTTTTTTTTTTTTTTGATTTATTGTAGAGATGAGGTCTCGCCAAGTTGCCCAGGTGGGTCTCGAACCCGCGGGCTCAGGCAATACACTCACCTCAGTCTCCCAAAGCGGGGGATTACAGGCTGAGTCACCAAGCCTGCCGATTTTTTTTTTTTTAAAAGAAGACTTAGTATCTTAAAGGTGAATTATGTTGGCCCTTAGTGTTCATGTCTATCTTGTACTATTACACTGGAAATTTTCATCTGAAAATGGACTTTTTTTTTTTGAGTCAGTGTATCACTCTGTCACCAGGCTGGAGTGCAGTGGCACGGTCACAGCTCACCACAGCCTCAACTCCCTGGGGCTCAGGCAATCCTTCCGCTTCAGTCTCCCGAGTAGCTAGGACTACAGGTGCTTACCACCACACCTGGCTCACTTTTTCATTTTTTTGTAGCGGCGAGGCCTCACTATATTGCCTAGGCTGGTCTCAAACTCCTGGGCTCAAGTAATCTACCCACCTTGGCCTCTAAAAGTGCTGGGATTACAGGCGTGAGCCACCATGTCGCCTGTTGTGTTTTTTTTTTTTTAATTGTGAAAAATATTGAACTTTAAGATATCCAGGCATTTTCCTTTTGGTCAAGACTTGGTCCAAACAGAAACGCATAATTAGAAGGGTGTATGTTTTTAAATATTCAAAGTAGATGAACTAGGATAGCTGTAAGTATTAGATACATTGGCAAGTGACAGCTGTATCTCATCCTCCTCCTCTCTTTTGTAGTATAAAGCTGTTTGGTTTCAATGCTAAAGAGGGGCTCTCAGGCACCAAGGAGAACGCCTTCCCTTACAGCAGGGAAAGAGTTCTTTGGCACCTGATCTTCCAGCAGGGAAATAGCTTAAGGGGAAAAAAAGACAAAACCACCGGATCAGTGACAACATTAAATGGAGGACAAGAGCAATTATGTAAATTCTAGTCAAGTCTCATAAAAGGCCATTGTAACCAAAACCTCTAATAAAAAAGCTCCAGAGCCCCCAGGCAACAGCGCATTCTGGGCAAGTCAGATACCTCAAAACTGTAATAGAAAAACAATTCAGAGACTCCCTTGTAGGTCCCTGTAATGGGAAGGGACCTGCAATTTAGACCAAAAATACAGAAAGGCTTACTCAGATGCCTGAAACTCCAGCTACAACACAGGATGAAGCACCCGGCAAAGAGCATCGTGATGCCACCAACTCCGCTCCTCTTCACAGTGGCGTTGCACCTGATCCAGCCTGTTCAAAAGGAAACACGGCCACTGTTACAGGGAGCTGGAACTAGGGCCAGTATGTGAGTTATGAGGTTTTCCCAGTTAGCCTGGGTGACAAAATTTTAACTCAGAGACTCCACACACACACATTTTAACAAAGGCTAAAATCCAGGAACCGTACATTTACTAAATTCAAACTAGTTACTCTTGCTTGGGGGAACTTGGCTTAGTGGGAGGAGACTAATGCAACTGGTTAACTTGGGGTTTAACGTCTTCCTGGCTTTGGGAGCAGGCACCGTCAACAAGGCAAGGGGGGTGGGGGGCAGGTAGACATTAAAAGATGCAAGCTGTTCAATAAATGGCAGCTGCTGTGACATTAGCTGTGTGCTTTCGATGAAGTCAAACTCCAAAATGAAATAGACAAGCAGAAGACTAGGAAGACAATGACCACTTTCCCTCTTCTCCTTAGCCTTGCTGTAACAGCCTCAAGTAAGAGAAACTTCTCCAAAGGCCTGAAACCAGAGATAGACCCCGACAGTCAGTAACTCCAGTCTCACCTTTTTGTACAGCTCCCAAGAACCTCATGAGAGAGAAGCCGGAGGTTGTAAGTCTGGCTGGGGGTTCCAAACTTCTATCAGCCGAGCTTCTTTCCAACAAAGGAGCTAGGGTTCCAAACAGAAGTCATGATGACAGTTCATCTAAACTCACCCCTTCCCCAACACTCAGCACTGGAGGTTCGGGAAAAGCACATTCTCAGGAGGTACATTGATGACTCCAGCACTGGAGTGCAGCTAGACCTATTCCAGATCAAGAAGTTTTTTCAAAAGCCAAGGGGTCACTGGCAATCAGGACCTCTGCTTATTTTGGTCTGTGAGTACACTGCCCGGATGACTCACGTGCACACGGTCCACAAAATGACTCCTTTACATCTTGCCATCTGCTAAACATGTTAGCCAAAGCATGGCTTTCCACCACATACATAAAGCACTGTGACTTGTCACTACCATCTACAGTCCGTATGTGGTTCTACTACTCCATTGCTGTTACTGGCCAGCAAACACTTCCTATTTATATTCGGTATGTGGATAACTTAAGTAGAACCGAAAAGAGGGCTGATGTCACTTGCTCACATTTCTCCTGCACCTGTTTTGCTCCATGTTTAATGATAGGCAAGTCATCTACCGAGAGTTTTCTGATCTTGGTTTGGTTCGTCAGGATAAATTAAGCCAAAATTGATGACAGGTTTTGCAGGTGTGGTAAAAGTTGCTGTGGATGTAAAAATATCTGCATGGTCATTAAACAGCAATGAAAAGAACCACACTGGCTTCCAAGAAATCACACAGAAGAGAATCCTCTTGCAAGGTGGAAGGCTAGTCCCTTAAAGCATGATGTAAAACTCACTCACCCAGGAAACAAGTTGGAAGGAAAACATGGGAAGAAACAACCTTCTAAAAACAGCGACTGAACAACCACGTTCTCTGCGATGCCATCTCCTGACCTAGCTCCACCTTCTCCAGTCAGATGAGCCTGTTTACTGCCAGCTGTAGATTCAGCCAAACTTGACTGAATGACACCTGTTCAGGCCCTGAGCCAGGATCAGACAAAAACCTATGGCCAAGGCGGGGCCAGCCCTGTACCTACAGAAGTCCTGCGACAGTTTTTTCTTGTTGTTGTTTTTTGAGTTGGAGTCTCACTCTGTTGCCCAGGCTGGAGTCCAGTGGCACACTCATTGCCACTGCAGCCTCAACCTGCTGGGCTCAGGTGATCCTTCCACCTCAGTCTTGCAAGTAGCTGGAACTACAGGCACGCACCACCATGCCTGGCTAATTTTTGATTTATTGTAGAGATGAGGTCTCACCAAGTTGCCCAGGCTGGTCTCGAACCTGTGGGCTCATGCAGTCCTCTCACCTCGGCCTCCCAAAGTGCTGAGATTATAGGTGTGAGCCACTGTGCCCAGCCCGTGACAGTTTTATTAACAATGTCTTCTCTGCCTTCCCCTGCACTCCAGCCTGGGCGACAGAGTAAGACTCCTACTCAAAAATAAATAAACTAAAACAAAATAAAATCTATTTTCCCTAAGGCCAGGAAAACTCCTTTTAAGTAGTAAGTCCATGAAAATGCTTCTTGCAGGAACTCAAAAAATTGATTCCGAAGCTGCTGAATTTCATAAGCCCAATTCTCTTATTCCTGATTTACTAAAACCTGACTCAGGGCATCCTGAGAACTACCAGTTTTGTCTGCTTTGCTATTTCCTATTCTAGGCTACCAGAATACATTCATTTTTCTTCAGCCCTGAGAGCTTTTGGCGCTACTATGTTTTATCAAAATGTCAAGACAGTTTTTGATACTTCTCAAATAACCTATCCACCTGGTGAAACCACTTGGGTGGACTCAGTTACCCTGCTGTATGAGGACTCGCTGTGGCTGTGGGCCTCCCTCTGTGGGAAAACATTCCTGATGTAATCTTGAAGCCCACGGCCCAACAGACAAAATGCTATCCGGAAAAACTTGGCAAAGACCATCAGGTAATGTCAGATGCTGAAAATTGATGCTGGGTTATTTTCCCTCTCTGAAACTCAGTATTCTTGTGTACAAAAGGGGATAATACCAATTTCCCAGGACTGGTAGAAGAATTACCTGAGAAAACCTATACAGACATGAAGTATCATGCCTGACACAGTTAATTCAGTAACTGCAAACTCACTGACCCTGCCTTTAAGGTATCAAAGGAATGAGTTGGCTTCCTACAAAAAGGGAAAATGACCTATCAGAGGACTTGCCTGAGCAAGGGACCATGTAGCCCATTCTTCTCTGCAAAGCTTCCATGAAAGTTCCACTTGAATATACAGTCATTGGAGGTAGTGTTGCCTGGAGAAACTACAAAGCTTTCTGAGGAGCCAGTGACACTATCTTTTAATCCTTGTAGATTCAGGTGACCTTGCTGAAGTCTTGACCTTAACTGAGATCCTAGGTTCTCTCTCCTCTAGCATCTACCAGTAACTTGGTGACAGCATTCACAGCTGAACATTAATCCCGGATTCAACTTCAGTCGTGTTTTTCAGTTTATAACAGAAGTGAAGCCCTATGATGGCTACATCTTATCTATTCTGACATTGAAGTACCAATAATATTGAAGCACAATATTAGTTACAGACTGTAAGCAATAAAAGGGAACAAAAAAGGTTGTTTTTTTTTTATTAAGAGTCTTACTCTGTCACCCAGGCTAGAATGCAGTAACACACAGCCACCACAGACTCAACCTGCTGGACAGGTGAACCTCCCACCTCAGCCTTCCAAGTATCTGGAACCTCAGGCACGTGCCACCACGCCCAGCTAATTTTTTGATTTATTGTAGAGATGAGGCTTCACCATGTTGCTCAGGCTGGTCTCGAACCCCTGAGTTCAGGCAATCTTCTCGTCTCTGCCTCCCCAAGTGCTGGAATTACAGGAGTGAGCCACTGTGCTCGGCACAAAATAGTTTCTAGTCATTATTTGGGAAGAACTTACTATTAAAGGAAAATTTGCATTTCCCCCCCTATATTCTATGTCATAAGCCTGGGAATATTATAAGTATTGTTTTCTGGGCATCCATTAAAATGAAATGCATCAACTTATATCAAACAAGATATCAACTACTAACTATACCAAATAGTAACCCTTAGGTAGAGTTTAAAAACCACAGATAAAAGTCAGATGGACCTGGATTTCTTTTTTTTTTTTTTTTTTTTGAGTTGGGGTCTCACTCTGTCACCCAGACCGGAATGCAGTGGCACACTCCCGACCACCGCAGCCTCAACCTACTGGGCTCCGGCAATCCTTCCACCTCAGTCTTCCAAGTAGCCAGAACTACAGGCGTGCGCTACCACGCCCGGCTAATTTTTGATGTATTGTAGAGATGAGGTCTTGTCAAGTTGCCCCAGCGGGTCTCGAACCTGCGGGCTCAGGCAATCCAGTCGACTCGGCCTCCCAAAGTGCTGGGATTACAGGCTGAGCCACCAAGCCTGACCAGACTGGATTTCTTTTTCTGAGTTGGAGTCTCACTCTGTTGCCCAGACTGGAGTGCAGTGGCCACTCCCGGCCACCACAGCCTCGACCCGCTGGGCT